TCTAAGTTATACTTTTAGTTTGAAGCTAGAAATACCCAAAGCCTGTTCATTTTGAAGTATGTTGGAAAAGGTTAGAACCTAAGAATTACTATTCAAGTCAAATGTTTGAACTTCCGTTTCCGAACTATTCAAAAAGAGGATAATTTGTTTTCCATTGTATTCTACATTCTGATTGTCAATTTATAAAATTAAGTATTTAGTAATCTTTAATAAGTTTATAGGTATCCATATGTAATGTAGCGAATATTATGACATTGTAACGACAATATAAATCATACTTTAAGTAATATAAATAACAGAAGGAGTTTTGTGGATATTATAGTAATTTTAATAGTTGCGATCATGAGCCGATTGAAGCGAAACCACCATGAAAAACCTAGAACCACTGGACAGCCGTTTCGTCCTAGTACGGGACCCCTCATCAGTGTTCATCCACGATCCCGCCTCGCGAGATTCGAACATAGGACCTATTGGCCTCGCGCACGAATAGTCAGTCAGTCAGTTACGACGTAGGACCAGGCACGTACATGCATCGGTCCAAGCTGCCAAACTTCATTAGCACAGCAAGACGAACACCGGATCCATAGAAGCAGTTAATTCAATGGTGTATTATATAAAGGAAAGATGTTATGTAAGAATATAGTACAGAAAGAAAGAATTAGTCCGTAGAAAGAAATATGTGAAATAATTTTAATCTCATAGTTTAAAAGAAGGAAAAGTGTGTATACACCTAAGCCATTGTAATCGATTTTGAGCCATGTTACCCACAGTCTCCAACCATTGGTTACGATAGTCACACGAACTTCAACCAAATAATTGGCATCTACCAACATGGCTCAGACTTGAAGTTAATAACTTCAAGGACGAACGCTTAATCTCTAGATCACTAAGCTGGGATCCAATAATTTCAATTTATTAAATATATTGACATAATTCTTATGTATTATATCTATTTCTATATCATCTTTGCTTACATTTATTCATTTTTGTTGTTTTCTTCTCTTTAAAGAATCGTTTAGCTGATCAATTAAAAGTTGATAAAATGAAAATAATCAAAATTTTATAAACAAAAATTACATTTTCTATTAATCACAGTTGACAAACGTATAGAAATTCAATCAATTTTTTCAACAGCTCTTTACCTTCAACAAGAACAACTGAATACAAAGAATAATAGTATACTTTTTTCATATGAGACGTTCTATAGTGTTTGCTTTGTTTGTTTAACTTCTTCTTGTACAAAAATAATTTAACACTTAAGGTAATAGATATTATCTTATTCATGTTTAGTTTCAATGATTTCACTTGGATAGATTTAATTTATGACAATACTGATACAATTTGTTTATTCTACATTGATTTTAATTAGAAATCTGATGATACACTTATTATAACTTGTGATATATGTGCCCTGTTAATGTATAACCTAACGATACCGCTAATTAGAAAGCAGTGAATTATCGATCAGACTAATGACGCATAAAACCCTTACTAGCAGTCTAGAGTACTTATCGGTTGTGCTTCCTGTCTAGCCTAGCCAGTTAAGTCCAGAACACCAATCTCAACTTCTGCATATATAAATCATTTATTTCAAACATACTGGGTTTATATACAAACCAAACATACCACATCGTAGGAAATAACATTTGTACAAGATTTAGCCAAATGTGACTGTGAGTGTGGGAGGTAGTAATGAATAGACAAGGCATAATTTAAGAATGGTAAATCGTCTAATTATAGTCCATAGGTCAAAATGAAGCTCATAATGAGAGGAACACGAAAATAAGTAGTTTAATCATTTAAGATATATATATATATATAGTATTAGACCAGAAATAGATTCCAATAGTTACCATTAATTATTCTCATCGAGATATAACAACACTAAGTAGGATAGAATCGAATAAATAATGATAACTATGTATCTTCTAACATATTGGTCTAAAAACAAGCAAAGTAGAAGACGGTGATAATGGAAAGCAAAAGCCTACTTCATTTTTTTTGTAGAAATGGAAGAACGTGACACTTCTAAATTAGTTGTTTAAAGAAGGAGAAGCATTTCATGTCTGGTTATAGGTTTGTCTGGTAATGATATTCGACTAAATGCTTTCAACTATTTACTGTCCATTAAAAGTGACAGCGTCAACCTCATTGCTGAATGCTTGCAAAATCTACTGCTTTTAGAGAATGATTTACCAATCCATAGCCTTTAGAAGTTAGATAATTGATTTATTAGCGATAGTTGTCGAATAACGTTACATTTATGAAACATAAAACTTGTATTTTTGGCATTTTCAGCTACTGAAAGTTAATTTAAGTTTAGTGTCATTAAACGTTTGATAACTGTTTCCATGGTCATGACTGTTTATATATAAATAGATCAGTTGTATTGTGGTGTGAGCTACTTACATCCATATAAGTAGTATATAATGATAGTTAGGAAAAGAATATGTTTCAGTAGAAGATCGAGAAGGAAAATAATGGGAACTGAAAGCAATCGGTGCAAAAATTCAAAAACAATCAAATCTGAGATGATGGGCTGGTATTTGCAAAAGAAACAGTCAAGTTTGAGACAATAAATTGACATTTTGCAAATGAAGTATTGTACTATAATTTATACACAATCTTTGAGCTGTACAAATGTGACCTCGAGAAACTCCAATCATTTATCAAAGTTAGGAATTAATATGAAGGATTACGATTAAGAACTAAGGCTAGAAGTTAGGGTTAGGAATTAGAGTTAAAGTATACCATACAAACTAACATTATCTATAATGCTAAAATCTTACTCAACCATATAGATGAATCAACTCCGCTCAGGAATTCAAGAGCCTCTTTCTTGAATTTGATTGATAGAATATGATCCCATCCTAGAAGTAAGATATTTTACTTAAATGATCCATATTCTTTCTCAGTATATTTAGTGTGGTTGTGATTACAGTCAGAATCGATTACTAAGATTAATTTTTGTATTTAAACACAAATAAATATGTAACACTGACTCTTCTACACGTACCATTTAAATTCAATGAATTAGAACTTAAAAAAGGTTTTCAAAGCCTAGAATAGTCACCAATTCGCAAATCATCTGAGATTCATTTATTAATACAGATTAGACAAATTAACTGAATTCACTAATGACTCCACCGAGTAAATAAAGATGATCCAAACTCATGACTCGTGATCTCAACTATTAAAATTACTATAATATCCACAAAACCCTTTCTGATATTAATCAACATATGCCACTAGTGACGGTCTCCAAGAGATATTTCCTGGAGTTCTAGGGAGAAGCAGTGACCAGTGGAGTTCAACTGGGTCAGTTGTGAGATAGTAACTCATTGAAGACAATGGTGGACCGTAACTCAGTTTCGTGGATTGGTTGAAGTTAAATATTAACACCGTTGGATGCCGGCTTAGTGCTCTAGAGGTTAAGCATCCGCACTCGTGACCGATATGTCCTGGATTGGAATCTCGTGAGGCGAGATCGTGGATGCACACTTCTGAGGAGTCCAATACTATGATGAAACGGTTGTCTATTGCTTTTAGGTTTTTCATGGTAGGCTAGTTTCAATTGACTCATGATCTCAACTATTAAAATAAACAGATTTAATTAAAAAATATAAATGTAAAACTTATCCCTCACCTCTATAGTAAATAATATATCCTACTTTAAATAATAAACAATTCAAAACTTCTTGCAGGATTATTAATGTTATCACACAGTAGTCAACTAACAACATACGTAAAACTAATTCGTTCAGATTTTTGAAATGTTCATAAAACTAAGGATTTCATCTGATGGATAACAAATAAGATTGTAATCAAAAGCACGTAGTTTCTCACTGAAATGAGAAAATATCAAACGGTTACATTTAGTCTATGAGTCCAACTCTTTATATAAGCATTTTTAACTTATAAAATGGCTAACACTGATTGTTTCAGTAACATAGTGAATTACCTAGTAGGGTCATTCACTCCGCACATCACACTACATTAAAATTTGAGAAACAGAATCTGTTGATTTGATTAAAGTTAGACGTTAACACTGTCGGATGCCGACTCAGTGGTCTAGAGGTTAAGCGTATGCACAAGATCGAAGGTAGTGGGCTCAAGTCCCACGTGGTCACTTCTGAGAAATCCCATACTAGGAATTTCGAGTTTTCAATGATGATCTAACACTGATCGGTTCATAATCTCAAAAAACAATCTGTTCCATTGGTTAACAGGCTGAAATGTTGATGTCTAATTGAACTAGTTTCTATCAGCAGCCTACTAGTTAATATTATGTCATATATAGTGTTATTTAAGTAGAATCTTCGGAGTTATTATATTTTTTATTATCGTATATAACGATTTCCAAACAAGCGATAAAAATCATCCGTAGTTTTTAATGTCATAATACGAAATAATCTGGGATTTCTAATGAGAATTTAATCTAATGTTATAATCGAAACAGGCCATAAGATCGATCTTTACTCGGCTTTTGTGCTGTTGTATAAAAGTGTAAAAGGGGGTACACTAAGGTTTATTGAAGCCTTAGCCATACGAAAATTCAACCCCCCCCCTATGTGTATTCATCAAAAACAGTTTGTTCTCACCTTAAACCCACCCTAGTAATATTGGCTTATTATCCAGAGTGATTAAGTTTCAAATTGTGTTCACATTATTATTATTATTATCCTTGTCTCCTCTTACTCCGTTTCCTGTCTAGTTGACCTTTTATTTTTATATATAAATGCTCTTAACAAGTATATGTGTGACTAGATTGTTCGAAATGTAATTTAAAACAATTAGTCCCTTTGATAAATTTCGATAATGCAATGAGAAGACGTAGTTTATCAGATAAACTACGTCTTCTCATTGCATGTTCGAAATGTATTGCGCTAATATATCACATAGTTCTGATAATCTTTGTCTTCTTATTACATTATCGAAATTTATCAAAGGGACTAATTGTTCTAAACATATTTGTCATTGGATTCATTTAAAGTGAATAGTTTAAAACACAATATATCATCTTTACTATAGAATGAAAATACATTATCTTAAAGAGAGCAAAAATAAAGATTGATGCAGAATAATAAATGGATTCATTTGTTTTCGTTAGGTTCTCATCAGTCCCTTTACAACCTAAAATATTTAAAATTCAACATTATTACAGATATTGACATACTTATACATAAGAGGGTGATTAAGGATGAATAAATGTATCATCGTGTAGTGAAGATTCCGATAGAGTTAATGAGGTCATAACATTTTGTCTCGAATAAATAAAGTTAGAGAGGGAAAGTTCCAAAACATTGAAATAGTGGTTAGAACTTATGAAAATTGATTAATGGTAATAAAGAAAATATGAATTGAAATCAATCAGTTATGTATGATGTAATTTATATTTCAGAAAGAGTTGCAATAATGACGTAATAAATAAATAAATAAAAATAAATGAATAAAAAGGGGGGTTATTGTTACCAGGGTAAAGAAAGATTTATTACTATCTCTTTTTGTATACTTTAACCTATACATTATATGAAGAAGAAGAAAAAAAAGGAGATTCATTCCTCTGATAGTATAAATACTCATCCTATTTTTATTTATTTTGATCATTCCATTCAGTAATTCTAACTTTTGCTCTATCAATTAATTGTTTACCTAATTCAATTTGTTTCTGTTTTATTTTATTTAAATAATCTTTATTAGAATAGTTTATAGATAATTCAAACAGTAACTTTTGTATAATACCATCTAATTCTATTGGATTTACTTCAATGATTGCATTCAATTCATCTAAATTTAATGTATCAATAGAAGTAAGATATTTGAACATTGGATCTAATTCTTCTTGTTTTACTTCATCTATTTGAATTTCTTTTTCTGAAGATTTAGATTGTTCATTTTGTTTCTCAGGTTGCTCTTGTTGTTGTTGTTGTTGTTGTTGAGTTTCTTTCGGAATATCATCTGGTTTAAAATTTTTTAACCATTTAGTTACTTTTTCAGGAAATAATTCAGAATATTTTGAAATAAATTTAAGTGGAATAGCTTCAGATAATGGAGCTGGCCATACAGAATCTGTTGATGTTTCAAATGTTTCCAATAATGTATCAAAATAAAGTGGACAAGGAATTTTTATCTATCATAGAAGAAATAAAATAAGAATATATATTGTATTTGAGATTAATAATCACTGGTTGAAATCATGAGTCAATTGAAGCTAGACCACCATAGAAAACCTGGAAGCACTGGTTAAGCGCCAGGCGCGAGACTGATAGGCCGTGGGTTCGAATCTCGCGGGGGGCGGGATCGTGAATGCACGCTGCTGAGGAGTCCCATACTGGGACGAAACGGTCGTCCAGTGCTTCCAGGTTTTCCATGGTGGTCTAGCTACGATTGACTCATGATTTCACCCAGTAAAATTTATAAAATCTCGACAAAACCCATTCTGAGAAAGATTATTGTTAAGATGGGATGAAAAAAACAAGAGATCAAATTGTGATTCAGTATAGTCATTGTTCAGCATAACATTCATCTTATTTCAGTATAACGTTTTGTGGCAATTTTGTGTAAAATCAATTTTGTATTTCATCATATTTCGGTTATTTGTGATATTCACTGACTATTTATCAAATATTAATATCTGTTCTCGTGATTATAACATGCAGAAAAATACAACAGCTTAAAGTAGATAATTTTAAATTACCATGTTTTTAAAGAATAGAGATCGTCTCCAAGAGGCATATCCTGGAGTTTTAGGGAGAAGTAGTGACCAGTGGAGTTCAACTGGGTCAGTTGTGAGAATGTGACTCACTGAAGACAATGGTAGACCATGACTCAATTTTGTGGATGCCGGTTTATTGCTCTAGAGGTTTAGCATTCGCACTCGTCACCGATATGTCCTGGATGCACACTGCTGAGGAGTCCAATACTACGATGAAACGGTTTTCTAGTGCTTTTATGTTTTTCTTGGTTGGCTAGCTTCAATTGACTCATGAATTCAACGTTTAAATTACTATAATATCCAACTTCGGTTCTTATTACCAACCAGAATAGCGAGTACATGTATCACAACTGTAGAAAATGAATATTTGGAACACGAAAACACTGTGATTTGTACAATTCAAGGAAGAAGCGAAAGTGATGGCACATGAAGGTTTTCTTCAACTAAATACTCTTATTTGTATATGTATATATAAATCACAAATAACCGGAAGAGGTGAACTACAAAATCGGCTTTATGCAAAATTATCGCAAAATGTATCCGGCATGTCATACTGATTGAAATTTACACCAAATTCAGATAAAAGAATGTCATACTATTTCAAAAAGAATGTTATTATAGATAAAAATCACACTGAATTAAAATATGACCTGGTTGGGGTCCACGAGATGATAGCAGCCGATGGTTAAAGACCTTAAATGACATTGCTCGAAATCGTTTGCAATGGCACAGGTACATCCACTCTTTGTGTTCTTCCAAATAATAATCTCCTTAACTCTTCTTGTCTCTTTTTTTCTCTTTCCAAATTTATTTCACTGGATTATACTCCTTGAATAACATCTTCAAACACCAATCTTTCCAATTACTGCTTATACTTTTACTACCTCTACCACTACGGGATTTGAATCGACAATTGTTTCTGTGTGCTAATGTGGTATGGCAACTCGAACTGATGTACGTACGTACGTACGGAGTTCTGCGTTGTTGACTGACCGACTGACCGTCCCAACATTCAGTAATAAGTATATAAATTATATCTGTGAAAAGACATTAAATTGACTAGACCATATAACGATAACAATTATAAAATCTTTGATTATTGATTCAAGGTGTATAGATAGTTCTTCCTGACCTCTTGTTTAGGAAATTCAATATAATATAAATCGAAATTTGAAAAATATCATGATGGACTGAATGATTTTATTCTTCTTTCAACTTCAGTAATTTTCATTACATACTATTTGTTTTCTCTCTTTATAGTGTATTATTTTGATTTTTTAGCTGTCTTATTGTTGGGGACGTTAGATCCCCAGAACTCACTTCGGAAAAAACCTAATTTTGTAATTTTATTTGGGAAATTTGAACTTCTTTATTTTCGCGCCAAAGGAGCTCTTGTCACCTTCATGTCGTATTTCCCATTGGGAAATGTCTTAAATGCTATTGGTCCGTTGCGTCTTTTAGTATGCTATTTGGTAACTCTTCCCAAGGACGGTTTCGCACTGTATATGTACATTTTGAATTGTGTTTGTTGTTATCGCTCGTTTTCTGGCTGTTTGTAGAATATACTTCCCCATTCCAAGCTTGGACTTCTCTTTCTAGGTAGCGGGGCTGGGACGCATCAATAGCTAGCTTACTGGTCTTTGGTCACTGAGTCAAGTTTCTCGTTCGCAGATTAAGTGAAATCGTGATAGCTTCAATCCCAGCACTTATTTTTTACTTCTAAGATTTAATGAAATCAATTCGCTGACCCACTTATGAACTACTTCGTTCATTGTTATTTATGTTCAGCTATTTACATTATTTTACATATTTCGAAATTGACATCAGCTTCATCATCTTATAATAATAACTCGTACTGTACCATTAGTTTTCAATCCATGTACACCATGGTAACTAACGCGAAATTAACTTTTATTGTATATTTTATTAAATTGTAGACTGTCTAAAACAATCTTGTACAAACCATAATATCATGTAACACTGGAACTTTGGATAATTCTTTGTTGCAATGATTTATTTACAGCTTTCGTTGCTCAATAGTTATACCGACCATTAGTGCTAAATGAAACGAACAAACATTTCAGATGGAGTTATTATTTATTTATATATTTATATATGCGCCACACAAATCATTGGATTTTCATGGGGGCTGGAATACTGCACGGGTGCTAAAACCGAAGTAAGTGGTTTTCTTAGGCGGCCACACTCGGAGCCTTCGACCTAAAGGTTTCATCCACAAGGAAGTGCAACAACGTCAGGAGATGCAGTCCCATGGTGAGCAATAACAGGTTCATACTTCGTTTGTCTCCTCAGGATCCTGGAACTGGTGTGCATCATTAGTTTGGAATCAAAGTTTTCCAACTCTCGTAAGTGGACTCAACATGTGCACTAACTCGGTTAAAGCACCGGACATTCTCTTTTTGTCCACTCAATTCCGTAAACAATAGTAATGTCTCAAGAAGGCAACGAATAGGAATTCTCTGACAGTGACTGTATACACGTGGCCATATGAGAGCATTTGAAGAAGGAGATCTCACTCTCTCTCCACCCTCGATCGTATCAAAGCATTCGAGGACATATCTTAACATACAGATTTTGTTAAAACATTTCTTAATAATTTTATTTAATCAAAACTTTTACTCACTTCTTTCATAACTGAAATTACAAACGTTTTACACTGTAAATATTTCTCAAGAATACTAGTTTCACACTTGATCTTACGTTCAAGTTATTAGATCATCTTTAAATCATACTTTTACATAATTAATGATAAATATCAGATCGTAGTAATTTCAATAGTTGAGTCAATTAAAGCTAGACCACTATGAAAAACTTAAAAGTACTGAATGGCCATTTCGTCCTATTGTGCCACTCCTTAGCAGTGCAAATCCACGACCAGGTTTTCTATGTTGATCTAGTCTCAATTGACTCATAATCTCAACTATTTGAATACTAAATAACAAAATGATATATATATATTACTTAAGTACATTTTAAGTAGTTTGTTCATATTAGAGAAATATACAACTTACTAATTTTTGATTAATTGCTGTATATGGTCCAAATACTTTCTCTAATAAATGATGTTTATTTAAAAAATTTTTTGAAAAATATTCTATTAATGATTTTGCCGCTATTGAATCAAGATTAAATAAGTAGCCGGAAAATTGTTTTTCAAATTGTATAAGATTAATTTCATCATTATTATCATTATCATTATTAATCGGGTTGGACGTAGGTGATAATTGAAATAAGGATTTAAAGAAACGAATTGATCCTACTAAACATGTTGTTTTATTAGTTTTAATTAAATTTTCATTATTTTGATTCACTTCCATTTGATTATTATATAAATGTTTATTTGCTAATTGCCATAATTGTAAATGACGTAATAATATATAAGCCATTGTAAAACTAATGATAATACACATTAATTTTTCTATATTTGTATTATTATGATTGTTATTAGTAGTATTTATATTGAATAATGATTGAAACATTGAATGATGAATTTTATGTTCAATAGAATTGAATTTATTATTTTGATAATTATAAAATTCATGAATCCATTTCGTTGTTGACCATTGAATACATTCAACAAAATAATTGATTAGTGCAGAATCCCATAATGATATTTTAAGTTTCAGTTTATTGAAATGATTATTCATTAAATCTATTGTAGAATTTATTTGATTATTTTGTTTATTGATGAATAAATCCGTTTTTATGAAAGAATCAAATGGTAAATTCGGTCTTTGTAATAATAAATTTGATTCTTCTAAATAATTTTGTATTTCTAATTTAAGTTGTTTATCATTATTTAAATGATTGAAAAATTTTTCAGCTTTATCTAATGATAAAATTAAAAATAATTGATCCGTTGTTGAGGTATGATCATCAAGTTCAATTTCATTAGGGGATCTTTTATGTTTTAATTTTGGAGTTTTCATTTGGAAATTATGATCTATAATGTAAAATAAATATTATTAAGTTAACAAATATTTATTTCACTAGTTGAAATCATGAGTCGATCGAAGCTAGACCACCATGGAAAACCTAGAAGCACTGGATAGCTGTTTCTTCCTAGTATGGGAATCCTCAGCAGTGAGTATCCACGATCCTGACACCCGCAGGATTCGAACCCAAGACCCATCAGTTTTGCGAGCAAACACTACTACCGAGCCGGCATCCAACTGTGTTAATGTCTAACTTCGACCAATCCACAAAGTTTCGCCACCGTTCACGATTGTCTTCGGTGAGCTGATATATCACAACAGAACTGGTTGAACTCCAATGGTAACGGCTTCAGTGGTCTAGTTGGTCAAGCGCCTGGCGCGAGACTGATAGGTCCTGGGTTCGAATTTCGCGGGGTGCAGGATCGTGGATGCGCACTGCTGAGGAGTCCTATACTAGGACGAAACGGCCGTCCAGTGCTTTCAGGTTTTCCATGGTGGTCTAACTTCAAATGACTCATGATTTCAATCAGTGAAATTTCTAAAATCTCCACAAAACCCCTTCTGAAAATATTTATTTACAATGTTTAAATTTCAATTCAATCATGTGATATGTGCTACTCTTATTGACTTAAGTAATATATGATGCAAATCAGGAATATAATGTCTAGCAGAAGATTATAAAGATTAAGAAAGGAAGAATTGGAATAGAATGTAATGAGTATGAAATGTAAAAATAATGAAGTACGAGACAATTATTGAATATTTTGCATATAAAGTGTTATAGTATGTTTTTTTCTATTTTACCAAATAATTGCAATTTTGTGCTACATATGTAATTCGGTTGTTCTCACCTGTGTTCTCCTTCACTACAATAACAAGACTATACGGATATTTTCTGTTAACAGATGTGTTAAATTTTACATTTAATTGATATAAAAGGTAGGAATATACTAATCTCTAGCACTATATTACAGACAAATCATACAAACAAATTGGTTTGACATTCATAGCTACATTGTCAGTTAAAAGGTGTGTTAATGCTCACAGTTAATTAGAAATGTAAACATGAAATTGTAAAGCTATATGCTTGACTTTATTGAGTTTTACATAGTGACAATAGTTCATAAGAAACTTAATGTAAACAAAATCTTAAAGTTTGAAAACTTCTCTGGTGTATGAGTTGGCTGTTCAACTTTAATGTGGACGTTAATAATACTGAGTGTCATAAAAAATACCTCCAAATGTGATCGACAAATAACAATTCTGGAGATTTTCAACTTGCATGCAACAATCCCTATAGATTCCTCACTGCGTCTTGTTTTCCTGGTTGAAAATTCTGTATTATTCATATGTCTCTTTTCACCTCGATTCACCGTAAATGAGTAGTGCTGAGAATAAACCCGTAATCGAATTGCTAAAACCCTCTCACCTAGGTAAATTTAAGACGAAGTTGAAGACATAAACTATTGATGTTTTAATCCAAAATAGGAGTATCATCCAACATATTATGTTCTACACAAATCGTTCGATAAGCATACCGAAAGCATAAACTATAGGAATAGGTCGTAAAAATAAGGTGTCAGATGATACGACTTCAAAGTCCTTAATCTCATTTTCATTGAGGATAATTCCATATGTTTTAATAAAGGTAGGAACTTGATAAAAGAATCTAATCTGTCTGGAGACGTTACTCAAAGTACTCTTCGGGGAATTAACGGAAATGCGTCCAGTTTGGATTATGTTCTCACTAAGAAGGTGGTATTTATTCCATACCGGTTATCTTATATCCAAACAGATGTATAGATTATGTTGTGATACCGTCTAATACTTATCCAGCAGAACCTCTAGTTGAAATAATTTCGTACAGAAATTATCATGATATATGCTAAGATGGCAGCATCACAACACAAAAAATCCCAATGTTGATCTAAAACTCCTAAAGCTGAACCATTTCGAGTCGTTGGTACTTATGCATTAGTTTGACCAATATAGACTATACTCTTAGAAGTACAGTTAGCTACTGTATGTCTCCAAAGTGTACTGTCACATAGTCCAGCCCTTTGGATTTTGGATAAAGATATGTTTATGGATTTCGTTCTCGGAAAATAATAAAAAATATTAGAAATATGATGTCAAAAACAACAACCTAACTTTAAGATATAAAAAGTCATAATCTTCAACCCACTGAACGATGGATGCGTTTGTTCTAGGGTGGTGAGATTGCTAGGACCACCAGGTATCACGTTACAAAGCAGTGGTCTATTGAGTCGTAATGCAGATTTTAAAAATAAAAAATAAAGAAGCAGAGAAAACATAAAAGCCGAAGCGAATATATACTTATTTTATTGATCAGGTAATTAAGAAAGTAAATGCGCAGAGATTTACACAAAAACAGCATGTGGATGGAGATGACAAGTTACTAGATGGTCTGTCGGGTGACTAATAATGCAAATAAATAAAATTAGTGATGGACAAAATATGGAGTGTAATTTCGGATTGCTAATAAATGAGCAGAGTGTTTTCCTATGAGTGCGTATCGGCTGACGGACGGTAAATCATAGGTATGTCGAATTTCCTCACTTATCTGTTTAGTTGGGACTGTAAGAGGACACTCCGGGCAAGCAAAATACGTAATTAGAAAACGTACAACTTCACATACGTGCTATCTGCTTTACGTATTGAAACAACAGGCAGGAAGAGTAAAGAAACCAATCAATTTAAACAGGTTAGTCACAAAGATTTGGGATATGCAATTCATCCTGGGTTGCCTCATCAGGCAAAATACTGAGTTTAAAATTGGAACCTTTTTGAGTTAACGTGAAGTAGTTACTATTTTGTGCACTTATCGAGTCGTATTCATTTTTCTGTGATCTAGTACTAGATCACTCATGTGAGTGCACTCACATGCATGCAGTATACGGTGTTGGAGTCGCCCGTCATATGGCCCATCTCTTTGTCTCACGGGTAGCCTTTCAGTGCACTTCCATCTGCCCACGTGGGCAGATGTAGGTCCTAAGTGGTGCCAGTAATTAAAAGTCACCGTACCTAGTTGTATTTAGATGAAGCTAATAACTGACTGATATGAAATCCTACATTTCAAACAATTTCCTTATTTTCCTCAAAGTTCCTTATACAAACGATAAATTTATGCATTTTAAACAGTACTTCAGAAGTCCGCGATCTCGTTGTCATGGTTTGGAATTCAAGGTAACAATATTCAGTATTTTTGTGACAATGTATCAGCTTACGACTAGCCAGATGGCACATTGTGTACAAAATAAGAATGGATCATGTTAAATATTCAGTTCCTTTTTCAGTTGCTTGTAAAAACTGATTAGCTATTTTGTGCTCATTTCTTTTTTTTTCTGTATGGTACCGAGTACTCACTAATGAGTTTGAAACCTAGGAAGTAAAAAAAGGGAAAAAGTGGTCCGGCTACTCATCCAACGCACAAAGTTCGCCTGTAATTATTAGGAGAGGCAGCGAAAAGACATCAATAATGCAAACATTGGGTTATAACGATCTGAAAGTCGGAACTGGAAGTAGATAATATCGGTTTTTAAATCCGCTACGGACTAAATTATTTAGTTTTTTTGCGTCCATTTCCCGGTTTTAACATATGACAGGTATTAATTAACCCATTTTATCGGTACATTTGTTTTCTAAAGCTGACCAACAGCTTACACATTTGCGGAAGCCCAGTATGGTATGTTCAGCCACTCATTTCCCGTATCTTGTAAATATACGCCAGAGATATTGAAGTTATTCATGAAAATATTGTATAGGTTAGGTTACGTTTCACCATAGTATCTGGTAATAAAAACGTTTGAAGGTCTCTGTAAACTTTTACTGTACTCAAGGTAGCCTCAAAACTCATATGACTACTTAATTTTTAGCAGCTAAAGACTGACTTGGTTTGCTTATTTGTGATTTATTCCGTATGTTTTTGTTTCCTGCTTTACTATGTTTACTATAGTATAGTGGATATATCCACTTTCATCATACTACACAAAACTCTTTTATTACTTCTCAGAAACATATTTTGCCAGTACAAAACCAAACAAATATGTGACGAATGAATTTTAAAAGATTCGTCACTGTTTGCTTCGATTTGTGATTTAGCCTATTATATTTGGAAATTATTATTATCCGACTCTTCCGTATTTAGTTCATATCCAGAATATTCCTCATTCTACTGATTTAGAATTAAAGCTTCTTCGGGTTTTATGGTCTGGATCTTACTGCCGGTCATTTTCTTTCATTAATTTGTGTATCACTAACCCTTTTTGAACAAGTTCGTTGAAAATACAGACAACATGTCGCCTCAAGTGTTTATCATTCTACGAGAAAACTCTCGTTTCATAAGGACATTCGCCGTTCTTTGAGTTGAACTTTAAGGCTTGTCCTTTACGTTTTGTTGACCTATTTGGGAAGAGAATAGGAGGTAACTGAAGCTAAAGGTTATTTCTCTGCACCATGTGCATCATGGATGGTTAAAATGTTTCGAGCGCATGTGAGCGTAATAAAGACTTTTACTCAACGGGCTCCTGAGAAGTAACATACACCACTTAACCCGATAACGAAGTTCGGTATATGACTACTCGTAAGAAGTAAACGGTGTGCCTATGGTCCACTCCGCTAGTTCATTTCTCTAGTTTCTGCGTGGTACTTCTGAGGTAGGTTTTATAGCTGAGCCTACGTAGGTATTCTAAAGCGTCCCAACGAGTGCCTAGCAGTTTGCAAGTCACCAAATAGTCATAGTTCAAAAAGAATTAGTGATTTGAGCTGTATTCCGTAAGGTTTGGATTTGAGTCCTCGAAATGATTCTCCGGCTCGCATTTAGATACATTCCGAAGTGTTCTAGTTCTTTTTGAGTGAGAGAGAATATAGCATTATTAATATTATTATTACTCATGAACAACCAAATCATGCATAACTGTTATGCGAAAACCATTTGGGTTTGGGCACTCTGGATCCCTAGAAATCAATTGACAAACGTCTCATT